ATAAAAATTATAGATTTATTTTATTTGCGTGGACCACCCTGTATTGTTGGAAAACAACGTTCTGGATTCTTACTCTGTTCACCAGAGGTCTTTGTTAGTCATCGACTTAGCATTATCTGTGAGTTTGAGTGGTGTAGGATTAGTGATGAATGCACGATTAAGAATCTTATTAATCCTCTCGCGATCGTAAGATAGAAAATGAAACTTCATCTTTTTATTACACCATGGAATAGATATACTGTTAGCGAGGATATTTTTCAATTAGAAGCGCTCTCTGGCTGGCTGTGATTCAACGATGGAAGATTAGTTCATGTGTCGCATGACAGATGTCACTGCGCGGTGATGTTATTTCTGGCGCAAATCTATTGATAAAATTGAAAACAGAAGCATATTTACAGATAAATAAATAAACACCTTGTTCAAGCAAGATGAAGAATGTTTGCAAATATCGTGTAGAATCTTCTTTGCTGGTTAGAAGGTTACGAAATTGTGTCAATGACACAATTCATATGTCGATAAGAATTTTCTATTGGTCGGTAGTCTATCGTTCTAACAGTTTCTACTGCTATCAGTTGCTAATTGAAATTCTAATTAACGATTTTCATTAAAATTTAATTGGCGTTACATATTTTCACTATTTCTGCACATATTTTTTCCCACTAATATTCCAATTATGTAGAATTATTTCGAAATTACCATTAGTTGGTAATGAAAAATTATTAAATATGAAATCCCAGTAAAATTTGTCACAAATAATGGCGCACCACCCATACTCTCAAACAATCTTCAAAAAAATCAACATCGATCTTCACAACGATCAACCCAATTTCAAATTAAGAAACAAAAAAATCACTGTTGCGTTCCAAAATTCAACTCTACACTCTCACCACCGTAACTCACCCCTCGTCAGAGCAGCAAGACGCAACATATCCCGCGTAGTCATCTGATAGTCGAGAATTTACGTTGACAATTATTCCAGCCGAATAAAATGGCCAGTAGCAAACTTGTCGAACCTTATCGCATCGTCTTCGTCGTTACTCTACTTCGTCGATTGCACTTTAACCTTCGGAATTCTCTGGATGGTGTAACGATCTTGTGTAGTAGCATGGCTCTACACACCGACACACAGGCCCGTTCTAATTACGCGCGATATGTATCTCCGTCACCGGCGTAGATCGGAATTTAATCGTGCGCGGGGCCACGAAAGCTCTGGTTGCTCTCGTTCGAACGCGCGCTCCTCTGACCATTTCGTAATTTCTATATGTGTCAAGGTGCGCGGCGGCGTGTTAGAGAGAGAGAGAGAGAAAGAGAGAGAATGACACGTTGCGTTGTTGAAGAAAACGTGTGTAGTGCATCCGTGTGAGAATCCCCCATAGAGTTGACGGTTGCAGTCGTGTGGTTCACGACGACCTCGTCGTGCACCAGGAAGCTGGGTAGCGTTGCCAAGACTCGATCCTGAGGAGCAGCAGCGTGCCGAACTTCACCATTCCGAATAAGCGAGGGACAAATTTACGTAATACTCTCTAACGTTCTCGCTCTTTCTTCCTCTCCCTTCGATTCCACTAGCTTTATCTGTGCTCCTCTTCATCTTTCTCTTCTTCTTCGTTTCTCCATCTTTCTCTTCTTTGTCTCTCCATCTCTCTTTCCGTTACTCTTCCTCTCTGTCGTCTTTCTGTTTCTCATTCGTGCACAAACGAGCAGTACTCGGTTCTCGAACGAGAAAGAGAGAAGAAGAAGATGAAGCGACGGCGAAGAGGACGAGGGACGAAGAAAGAGACCCAGAATGGTCGGTCGGAGCGTATAGCTCACCACCGCTGCTCGGTATTTTTAGTGCGTCGAGAGTATTTGGCGGGGCGCACCGAATCTCCTCCTCGTCTCTTCGTGAACGGTCGACGGTCGTCGTCGTCGTCTCCGTGACCGCCGTTGTGGTCGTGCTTTTAGTGCCTTGGTGGCGTCCCTGTTGCGCGATCGACGGTGATCACACCTCCAGCCGAGTGATGCACCTGCGGCCAGGAACGCGTTGTCAATCCCTCCTGTACTTGCTGGATCGTTTCTTCTCATCTCTGGAGCAATTCTCTTCTTCTTCTACTTATTCTTCCACCTTCTTCTTCGTCTTCTCTTAATCTCTGAGCTGCGCGTTTGTAGTTGATGATATTTCTCGTGGTCCAATCCTGGGTCTCGGATGTGTCACACTGGGAACGCTCGGCAAGGTCTGGCGGAACGACCTTGAAGAGGTACTCTGACCAGAGAGAGAATCGAGAAGCTGTATTGTTTCATCGAGAGGCAGCACGATTCGAGGAAAACGTGCACAGAAGCGAGACTGGAGAAGCGAAAACAAACAGGATTACGAGGAAGTAGCCGTGTGAAATAATCAGAGGGAGAGAGAGAGAGTTTGAACAAGTCGTTTTTGGCAAGGCACAGGCACAGTTGGTGCGGAGGTTTACTCTCGGTTCGATCGAGAGAATCGAGGGATATCTACGTAGGCGTCTCTAACTACGTCTCAATGTTCATCTTCGCGCCACGTGACAACATGTCGACGTCTCGTCAGGGCTCGGCGAGCCGGCGAAATCGGTACGCGCGTTCCTCGACGACCACCAGCGTCACACAGCTACTCAGCGACTCGTGTTCGAGTCTTCTGCAACGTTTGACCACTAGGGTGCGAGGAATGTCGACGGCGAACGACAACGTGGGCAACAAAACGCCTGTTACGAGACGTTCGCCGATCGCCGGTCAACTGAATACCGCGAGAGCCCGTTTGGAGGACAAATATTGCACCATCCTGGACAAGTATTCGAAGAAGAAACACCACGAGCACAATCACACGTCCGTCGACTATAGACGCGCTCACGAACGAGAGCACAGCTATTATCGCCGCGAGGATAGCCCGTTCGTGCGCGAAGAAAAGACTCTAGAACCTTCAATGACTCGAACCATCATCAAGAGTCCAACCAGCGTGGTGTTGTCGGAGAAAGCCTATCCCTACGTGAAATCTCCCACGGTGAAGGAGTTCAAACGCGAGAAGACACCTGCTTATCATCGAACGGACAGGCAAGGATTGCTGAATTCCTCCAACTCCGAGAGATACAGAAGATACGGTAGACACAAGTCTGGCCACGCTGAGACTCGTACGAGAAAAGTTCGTCCGTACAGAAACGGCAAGAGCGAACAATTAGAATCTACTTCTACGGCTCTTCGACTTTCTCGACCGATGAAAGGTGATCCTACAGCTGCAGCAGTCGCGAAGGAGAAGAACGACGATGATCCTGATAAGACACCGACTATCAGCGTAGCTAAAGACACCGTGGTGGCGAACAATAGTACCGTTCAAGTGTTACCAGAAGTGGACGATGAGGATCCGGTGATCTCCGAGAGAGCCGCGAAACGAAAGGAGATCCAAAGTTTGATCCTGAAATATGCGGCCATGGAAGAGACCTATACCCAATTGGCTGCTTGTGGCCAGGTGAAGATGCGACCTAGTACCACGGACATAATCGCCAGCAAGTATAGGAAAAGCATCCAGCAAAACGAGCGAAAAGACGCGTCGAAGAGCGCGGTAGTAGCCGCGAGTGTCGTTAACAACAACGCGGACACGATCCAGGACGCGATTGTAAGTTGTCGAACCGCGCGCAAAAAGAAATGCCTTCTCTGTTACTTATCTTCCGCGCGGCCGCCATGAACGGCGGACGAAAAAAGTGTTGTTTCGTTAAGCAGAAAATGAAAAAAGTCCCCGTTGCTGCTGTTGTTGCGTGTTGTGCCATCCTGCCCTCCTTTTTTTTTCATCAAACCACTGTTGCGTGTGTTTTTTTGGGCGTGTGTGTGTATATTCGCTCTGTCGTTAACACCATGCGTCGATTTTTCAGACTCGTGAAGATCCACTAATCGATACCTGCGTCCGTCCGTCCAAAAGTGTCCAATTAGCGAAATCACCTCCCCAAAATGGACGTTGAAAACTATTCGCCTGTCGTGAGAGTTCGTGCATTCTGTCAAATTCTTCCCGCGTTTTTCGAGAGCTATCTTATCGATACTCGCGTCTTACTCCGGTTAGGTTGTTGCATCTGATTCGATTCTGATATTTGGATGTCACGTGGTGTTTCGAGGGATGTTTAATACGTTCAGAACGACGTGACCCACCGGTGGGTCATCGAGTGATGTTTTTTCGTTTTCACGTGCGTCACCGAGAGGTGTTCCTATTTGTTAGTGTAATTCACGTGGGTCATCGAGTGATGATCTTGTCGTCGTGACCCACCGGTGGGTCGCCGAGTGATGTTTTCTCGTTTGTTGCCGTGACTCACGGTGGGTCATCGAGTGCTGTTCTTATTTGTTAGTGTGATTCATGTGGGTCATCGATTGGTGATCTTGCCGGAGTGACCCACGTGGGTCATCGGAGTGTCTCTCTTATTTTATCGAAGTGATCCATTGGTGAGTCATTTTGGAATGAATGAGAGAAAAGATTGAATATACGACGTGACCCACCGGTGGGTCACCGCATTATTCTATAATATTCCGCGAAAAAAATACGTATACTTCTCGGATGAAAAATTACGTAATGATAATAAACACCTTGGTAAAATCTAACTATCCAGTCAAAACAAACCGGCAGAAATGAATGTTAATAAGGGACCTTGGTGACAAATCTACTCACTATGTTTTCATATTTACGGGTGGTTTTTGCACAAACTCTGTGCTCCAAGTAATAGAATAAAGCAAGGCTACAAGTGCACAAGTGTAGTTTAAGAAGTGATCAGCTTAAAAGTAAAATTTCGACGAAGTTTGAAACGATAACACGAAATTGAAACTGTTCAAATTAATTTCAAAGCATTTTACTGTGATAGAAAGCGTTTTTTCTCTCTCTCTAAATGATCACCGAATCTTTGCACGAGGATAATAAAATTGTTTCGACGGTGGACAAAATGACGAGTATTCATGTGAGTGAATTTTTTTTTCTTCAGCCCGACTGAATTAGCGCGTTTAAAAATTCTCGATCTCTCGCGTTCGACATTAATCTGAAGTAAACGTGCTCTCTGGCACAGTGTCAACGATTCGTCGAAGTTGCAATTATTCAGCAAGTTGTTAACAAGTTCAGCAACGACAATTTTAGCAACATCTTTCGAACCACTACTGTGTGATAAATCTGATTGGACAGAAAAAAAAAAACGACAAAAAAATGTCTTCTATACTTTTTTTATGATTTTAACGAGTTTAAAAATTGTTTAAAAATTATTATCCAAAATTTTTTAAATTTTCCCAATCGATAGAGTACCACGGGCCCAGTTGTTCCTTTCTTCTTCCAACAAAAAAAAAATAGTCGTTTTCGTTGAATCTCTGCGTGTTTACACACGATTAGGTCATGCACATCAGGTCGGTTTGAATTCGCGGATCGATAAGGTAGGCTCGAGAAAGTGTCGATCGATCGATCGGCACTGCCGCGCTGTAAGGATTCGTCGCGACGATCGATCGAATAAATCCAACGTGTATCGATCGTCGTGCAGTGTCCATTTGGCGCAAACACGTAAGTACTTGAAGTTTCTGCAAAAATTGATTGATTACTAACAAAAAGATAGAGATTAAAAAAAAAAATGAGAAAATTGTAGAGAAAAGATGACCTCTCCGAGAGCGTATTATTTACGGGAAAAAAAGTATAATATATACGTAACGAACACACTCGAAAGAAGCTGCCCGATAAATCTTCTTTCACACGTTACAAATTCTTACTAGAAAATCTTTATTCTCTAATTTTTCACAATATATCCAAAAAGAAACTTCACTTTATGGATAATTAGACAATTTCTTAGATCTACACTTTTCCAATTGTACATGTATCGAACAAATCGCGATGGCTCTTTCGACGTAGTGTTCACGAGAAATACTAACTTTAACACGAGTATACGAGTCTAGGAAAAAAAACGAGATCTAAGCAAAAAGAAATACATACATAGTAAATATAGTACAACTAAATAACAGAAAAAGATACGTATATCTATATTCAAAAAACAAAAAAAAAAACAAAAAAAATTAGTAAGAGGTAATAACATATAAGAGATAAAAAGTATCATAATAATAATAATCATAATCTCGTAATCGTTAATAATAATACAAAAGAATAGAAAATGAAAAAAAAAATGTTCGCTTTGTGCCGATGGTAAAATTCGTAACCGCAACTTTCTGACTTGGCAAACCATTTTGCCCTCTCCCCTTTCTCTCTGATTGTTGGGTTACCATCTCCGTTGTAATGGAATGGAATGGAATGGAATGGAAACGGATATGGCACACGGATTGGTCACTATGGTGTCGACTGGGCGCTCGGATCGGGTGGTTCGATGATGACCGATGACGATGATGATGTATCCCCCTACTTCCTCCCCACCGACACACTCGTACGTTCGTCCGTGCTTACACACGTCCTCTACCGCGTGTTACACGGGTCTCCGCCCACGTGGTGGTGGTGGTGGATGACGGTGTGTGCGGCGATCGGTTGACGCGATGGCCCTCTGGATGGTTGGACCCTCTACCGTCTTCCGTCTCCTCACTCTCGCTCTCTGCCGGGTGGATCACAACAACACGACTACACCAACAACAACTTCCGTCTGGTCGACAACAACAACAACGATCGGCTGGTGAATCGACAACATCGACGACGACCGGTGATGTACCCGTTTTAATGTCGGGGCTCTCCTTCTTTCTTCTCCGTCCATCACGAAAACGAACACACGGGGACCGATCGTCGGATCAACCAATGATCACTGGACCACCAAACTGGTGTTGCACTACTCCACCACTGATTGGGTCCTCTCTGTTTGCACGCGCCGCTGATACCGATTCCGCCGGCCCATATGTAGAGCCCACGACCGCCCTCCGTCGAGGACGACGAAGACGGCCACCTTGTTTACCAATCCGGCGACATCCTGGCAAATAGATGTTCGTGAATACGTGAATACACTCATTGTAGTAGATTTAAGCAAGCCTCAGATCGATTGGTCGATCGATCGATCGGATCGGTTACCTACGGTATCTGCCCATGGTCTCTCCTTGCCTCTGCTCGCCTCTACTCGCATCTCTTCCTCTATTGCTCTCCAGCCCCGTTTTTACACGTTTCGCGGGTTTTTTCTTTGCTTCTTTCCGTTTTAGACAATTTTAGAGAGTATTCTTCTCTTCTGGATTGTGTTCTAATTAGAGTCTGCGAGGTGTGTTCCGTTCGAGGGGAAATTTCAGTTTTAGTTGATGTGAATCGATTTAGGTTAGGTTAGAAAAAGTCATTTCACAGTTTTCTTGAGATGATTCAGGTTTATACGCGAGAACACCTTGTCTTTGTGTGTTTACGTATAGTATGATCAATATAGTCAGGAACTAACCGTAATTTACATAAGTCATTTCTAATTACACACCTTCGTAATGCGAGGTGAATTTCTCGAGAAGTTTCCCTAACATCATACTCTCAGATATTAACTCCAATTGTAACATGTACGATATACTACATTTCTGAGAACTTTTTTTTTTCGTAACAGTAGACACACACACACACAACACTGTTCATAGTGTAAAAATTCTCTTCTTCATTGCTTCACTATGTTCATTTCCCATGATCGAAAGTGAAATGTCGGAGCAGAGAGACAGAGAGGCGAAGGAAGGAGGAGAGACAAAGAGAGGCCACGCTTGCGCTATCTCCTCGATACGTCTTCTTCGGGATGACGTGTTCCTCTGTCTTTGAACTGGCGCACGAGGACATTGAACATTCACTCTCATTATCCTGATAGCTTTTCACCGGTCTTTTTCTATTTTACCTTCAGTTGCTATTCAGAATCCCGTGAAAGGGAGAGACAGACAGACAATTGATCTATCGTATATTTTAGGATGTGCAAAATCAGGACTTGATAGACAATGTTATGTCCTCCGGCTGCCTAATTTTTACGGTTAGGATACCTCGACCTTTTAGGAGAGCAGCAGTTCCGATCGATAAAAACGTTAAAGCTCTATGATACCGTTTTTTTCACTTGAATCATACATCCGTTCACGACGTGTATGGCGTACAGAACATGATTGACCGGACGTTCAGATAGAAGTGCGTCTCTGTTGTTCTCTTCGTTTATTCGAGAAAAACTTGATAAAAATCTGCCTTAACGATAGCTAACTCCGTATAGACGAAGGATTAGTTATCGATGAGGGTAAAATGATATTCCTTACTTACCGACAGATCCAGCTATTCTTGTGTATAGGAAACGATGTTAACTATGAAACAGAAATTAGAGATGATATATCCCCATAGAGCAACATAGACGATCTTCCATGGACGGGAGGTCTTTAATTTTACTCGAATACTTATCGCTTTTTTTACATTGCAGATAAAGTACTGGCCACCCTAGGAGAGGGTACTTTTGGAAAAGTTGTCAAGGTTAAGGACTTGCAAATGTAAGTGGCAGCTCACGTAACTACTACGTAGGTAACCTACCTCGAGTCTGCGTTATTTCACTCTCTCTCTCTTCTCTTCCTCGCTTAATCTATCTCACTTTACCATCCACCGTTTTTCCCCTGTGATTTATCTCCCTAAATTCTACCTTATCGACTCTTTCCATAACCTCCAAGAACAGAACAACATGCACCAAGGAAAATCGCAAAGGTGCGTGGCGCGACTCGAGTCATAGCAGGGTCAGAAATAGCTGTGCCGCAGTGTCACAAAATGACGCGCAAGTAGTCGCAATAATAGGATGGCCTTGCACTTTGTTTTACGGGCCGGGGCTTTCTCGACGGGCGAACGAGAGTTGTGTGTTTCGTTAAATCGTTCGTCGAGATATTGACCAAGGGGGCGAATTGTTTATACATTTCTGTTCTTCCTCTTTAATTTCGAAGTAGCTGCGCTTTTGTGACTCGAATTTGTGTACATGCGATGATGATGATGATAATGATGATGCTACCTGCCATGTGGATTATTGGCAGTTGGTAGACAGAAAGTTGTCTAATAAAAGTACAATGACGTTTGCAGGGATCACGTGATGGCGCTGAAAATCATCAAGAACGTAGAGAAGTATAGGGAAGCCGCGAAGCTCGAAATAAACGCCTTAGAGAAAATTGCAACCAAGGATCCGGAAGGCCAACAGTTAGTATTTGTGTGGCTTTTTAGACCTGGTGGGGACTGGATCGGTGAACACAGAGGGTGATTCTTCGTGTAAAAATAAGTCGAAAATTGTGCGGCAAAATTTTTGTCCGTGAAGCTTCATTTCCAAGGGAATTTTGTTCGAATGTTATTTAAAAAATATTGATTTTGTATCGGTTATATGTGTGCTTACTGGTTGAGGAATTGTTGAAATTCGATACTTGACCGCAGCTGAAACGTTAGTACTGTAAAGCAATGCAAGTGGAATATTTATGTGTACACTGTAATGGCATAGGCGTCGTAGTCTTGTAAACGTATTCTATGTAGAATCATGAATCATGGTAGTGTCACACAATGGTTATTAAAAGCATAGCTTCCATTGGACGAAGCAAGGTTGTTTTCCAGTCTAATATTGAAATAAAGCATGAGTAAAAAATGTACGATCTATTTCAGTTTTACTATTTTAATATCAATAGATGCGTACTGGATAGAGTAAAAAGGTGGCACTAGAAATTGCCAAGTTTCACTGTGTTCAAAACAAGATGTATTGAAAGTATTTGTATATAAGTGTATACCAGGAAGCGTAGTTAAATTCATGTATTTTTCCATTATATTTATATCGGGGATTAAGCCAAGAAAATTTGATTTATATTTACTCAAAGAATCACCTGTTCGATTTGTATTCATCGTTGTCACCCTTCTATATATGTTTTTAAAAATGGTGAATTTTTTTCTTGTATTCATTTAACATTCCACTGTGCTTTCAGCTTGTGCGTGAAAATGCTTGACTGGTTTAATTATCACGGACACATGTGTATCGCCTTCGAAATGCTTGGACTTAGTGTATTTGATTTTTTGGTATGTATACCGGTGTTTATATGCATTAATGTGATGTGTCGATTCCAATATTCCGATGGATTTTGTATTTACAGAGAGATAATAATTACCAGCCTTATCCGTTGGAGCACGTTAGACACATTGGATATCAATTATGCTACGCCGTCAAATTCTTACACGATAACAAACTCACGCACACCGATCTGAAGCCCGAAAATATATTATTCGTAGATTCCGATTACGAGAGCATATACAATAGCAAAAAGGTGAGGCACGACAAGCTTCTTCCATGTAAACATGGAACAATTTACTGTGAGTGTCATTTAGAATAGTGTAATCCAGTGTTTATAAAATTCTGACGTGTAACATGTCTTGATCAAACATTTATAACAAAAGTAATGTTTACTTTATTAGAAATATTAAAGTTCCTTGATATACTTGTAATTAACACATTTAACATACTCGTGTCAGTAAAAACTGTGTGTTAAATTGACAAGCATTCAACTTCCATTTTCTTATAAACGTCTTTACTTAGTTAATTAGGAATCTATATGTTTGTTTTTAATTAGTGAAGCTAATTTATGTAATTTAAAAATAATAAAAATAGTAAAAATAGGTACAACAAAGTTGAAAAACATTCAAAGATGAAAATACTTGAATCAACAACTGCAAGGGGGATATCTATTTTTAATCAATACACATACTTAATTTTCATGTTATTAATAACACAGTATTAATACTGTACGATTCTAAGCGACACTCGCTTTATGCAAATTAACTATAGATAAATGTACGATCAAGTGTCGTGCTCTGAAGTGTTTAAAAGAAGTTTCTCCTTTTTAAGAGAAGGGATATCAGGCGCGTAAAACGAACAGACATTAGGCTCATCGACTTTGGTAGCGCTACGTTTGACCATGAACATCACAGCACCATCGTTAGCACAAGACATTATAGAGCGCCTGAAGTAATTTTAGGTAAGTAAAGTTAATTGAATCAACTGTGTGTGCAAAATTGCGAAACTGGTATTACTGATTTGTTACGCGTATTTGTATAGAATTAGGATGGTCTCAACCTTGTGACGTGTGGTCGATTGGCTGCATCCTCTTCGAACTGTACCTGGGTATTACTTTATTCCAAACACACGACAACCGTGAGCACTTAGCGATGATGGAACGTATACTTGGCACGATTCCACATCGTATGGCCCGCAAGACTAAGACTAAGTACTTCTATCACGGCAAATTAGACTGGGAGGAGAAGAGCTCCGCTGGTAGATACGTTCGGGACAATTGCAAACCTTTACACGTAAGTATTAATCATCCGCTTAGAGTAAAACTCATCCCGTTATGTAAGAACTTGAAAATTAACATTTTCTCATTGATATAGATAATTTATACGAGGTATATAATTAAGAATAATTTTAAAAAGTTCTTAATAAAAAGAGCAAAATAATTAATGACAATTGAAAGTAAAAACGAAAGACGCGGTGATTAATCAGTTCTTTTTATGTGTGTGTAGCGTTGTATGCTTTCGGATGACGAAGAACATCGACAATTGTTCGATGTCATTCAGAAAATGTTAGAATACGAACCATCCCAGAGGATAACATTGAAGGACGCACTCTCACATCCATTCTTTGATGCGTTACCTGCGCATCAAAGATTACCAGACCTTCGTGCAGCTGGTGACTCTCAACAAAGCCATGAACGATCCCACTCTCTCTCCCGATGAAGCTAGGAAAGGGACCGACTTCCGTGCTGGACAGACACTCCACTATCAACGACACTACTGCCCGACATCACTATCCTTACATCCTTAAGTCTCGCACGATTGTGTCTTTCCCGCAATAATGAGATTCGATGACGTAATCCGTTACTTAAAAGAATGAAATTAGAATGTATAGTAAAAAACAAAAGGAAAGAAAAGGTGGTTCGAAATTTTATTACGGAATATGATCGAATTTGATAGTAACGATAGATAATGTCGGTTGAATTGTAAATCGTATTGTTTACTAACGACATAAAATAAATGGAAAAGCAGTAGTGCAATGGTGCTGTGGAACTCGGACTCAATAGAATCTAATTATAACGGGTCGTTGTGATGATCTTTGCATCAAGATATAAAAGGTCGATATTCTTCATCTCCGTTTGTGAGACATCGAAATTAGTAGACATCCAAATCTCTTGATGAGGTCCCTGTTACTAGCTTGTAAAACAGCTAGTGTGTCTGCTCAGTGTAGCGTAACAGAGTCCCGCCACTGTAAACATTTTCTAAACGCTCTTCTGTACATTTTATCCTTTAATTTTATTACAATGTTATTATGCAACAAAGTTTGGAGTAAAGAAGGGTCGCAGTTTATACTCTGTTTGTTATAGATTGATGACCATGGCGTGTTTAGTAGTAAGAATCAGATTTAGAGATAAGTAAATATATGCGTACGTGTTGACATTAATTAAGATTAACAATGGAGAGAAAGTGTGTGCGAGAGAAAGAGAAATGAAGTATGTGAGAGAGTAATTCAATGAACGCCAATTCATTGTCGTAAAATACATATGTTAACGTTCTCAGAGACCATAAGGATACACCATACGGTTATTTTAGAAGATGCTGAAGCTAATAACAACCTTCCTTTTTTTCGGTTCGGTGTATAATCTGGACTTCGTTGCATTGTCTTACGATGTTTCAGACAATCATGTGTGTTTTCTGTTTCATCAGTCCTTACGAAAACAGTCAGAAGAGTGAGGTGGATCGATTACGTTTTCTAAATACACTTAATACTGAGAGTTTTACGCGTGCATCGCATATCTTTGAAAAAAACAAGTGCGAGCTTACGTACATAAAAACGCCTCTGCTTTTATTTTGTTTAAAGGAATGAAACCTTCAAACTACAAGGCTCTACCACCCATGTACGTCATGTTTGCCTCTCTTAGTTTTAATACATACCGACATGACGGAAGTTGAGACGATATCCTGCTGCTCGTACAAAGAAAAGAAATATGTCTGAGCATTGCGAAAAAAATGCTGTTTCGAGTAGCAATAAACACATTTCTTTCAAATAATCATTTGAAGTTTATTCTTTCAACCAGTAAGTCAAACTTTTCATCCCAATAATTTAAAGTGGTCATTGATACATTTATACAATAATCTGAGATACATTTTTCTCTTCTCGAAATAGATACTCTACATATACACACATACATACATACATGCTGCTCGTCGTAACATACATACAGGAAACTCAATGGAAAGCTATTATATACGAACCTGCTCAACAGGTTCTTACAATACCATGCCAAATAAAAAAGAAATACACCGTTAAAAACATGTCGCGCACATCTGTATAATCGATGTATTCAAATTTCGAAGCTTCGCGTGTAAAACGATGACACTTAAAATTACAATTTAGGCGAACCATACACTGGAGGTACCGATGATTTGTACGTAGAGTCGTACAATTGTGCTTTGATGAACTTCTCATAGTCTTTAGGCTGAGGATGAACTGTTGCGAGGCCTACATAAACAAAAATAAACATTCTTGGTTAATTTCGTAACATTCACCAAGTATAATTATGTTAGAAATCACATTGTGGAGATCCTTCCACCATGAGAATATGTGATAAAACTTAGCGTTCTTACCATTCTCATAACCACAGTGCATAACCTCAGCAGCTATCGTTAACGAACATTTCTGAATATCTTGCAGTGGTGGATACAAGTTTCCACTGTCCAAGTCGTCTTTAGAGACCATGTTTGCTAATGTTTTAGCCGCAGCGAGGAATATGTATTCTGGGATTGTACGCATGCCACAGCATATAACGCCCAATGCGACACCAGGGAAAATATAACTGTTATTTCCTTGGCCAGGATAGTAAGTCTTATTATTATATGTTACTGGTGGGAAAGGTGATCCACTGGCAAATATACATTTTCCCTGCAAATATTTTAAGTCAATCGTTAAATTTAATCCTTCAAATTTGTGCATATTGTAATTCAGAATTTAAATTATGACATGTGTTTTAATAATCAATAACCGAAAAAAATAATCGAGAGATCAATATTATTATTTTTATTACAATACCTTTGTAGCAGTGTATGCTTGTTCAGCAGTACACTCTGCTTTGCTCGTTGGATTGCTAAGTGCAAAAATCACAGGTTTTTCATTATTCTTTCCCATTTCTTCCAATATTTCCGTGGTGAAAGCACCACCAATAGCAGCGGCACCAATAAGAACCGTCGGTTTCGCGATTTTCACCACGTCCAGTAATGTATTAATTGGTTCACCATCTCGAGCAAAGTGTAGCTTATGCTCTGTCAGTCCTCCACTTGGACGATTCTTGACAATCAAACCTTTCGAGTCGACCATCCAAATCTTACTCTTTGCTTCTTCCTCGCTAACATTTTCTTTTAGCATAGCCATCACACATAGCGATGCAATACCCAGCGCTGCCTGCAAAATAAGAATCAATGTTAATTCGTTCATATTTATCAATCTACTAATAGTGATAATTAAATAGTAAGAGTAATAATTATTTACCTCACCAGCACCCTGGAACACAAATGTATTTTCCGAAAGCTTGGTATTCGTGACGCGAAGAGATGCCAACAAACCAGCAACAGCAACGGATGCAGTTCCCTGAATGTCGTCGTTGAAGGTACAATAGTGATCGCGGTATTTGCTAAGCAATCTAAACGCGTTGGCGTTACCAAAATCTTCAAACTGTATCAAAGTGTTCTGTCCGTATCTTCTGACAACAGCTTGCATAAATTCGTCTAAGAATTCATCGTATTCCTGACCAATTACACGTTTATGTTTGAGGCCAATGTAGAGAGGATCTTCCAAGAGAGACTGAAAAAATATTATTGTTAATATTGCTTTACTTAATGTATTTTTATTTCCATTAATAATTATTACTTCTTGTTACGTTATTTACAAATAGAAAGAGCAAAAATAGACTCTATTTCAGAAATGATCTTTTCCTACATAATATGAATTTCTTAGAATTTTTCAATTATACCTTAGTGTTTGTACCAACATCCAGTGTAATAGGCAAACACTGATGAGGTTTGATTCCAGCTAGAGCAGTGTACAAGGACAATTTTCCAACAGGAATACCCATTCCATAGGCACCCAAATCACCCAGACCAAGTATTCTTTCACCGTCAGTGACAACGACGGCTCTCACATCGTGTTCAGGCCAATTTTTCAGAACGTCATATACGTAACCTTTGTCGTTTATGGTGATGAACATACCACGTGGTCTGCGGTAAACTAGACCGAACTTTTGACATGCTAAACCGACTGTAGGTGTGTAGACTAGAGGCATCATTTTTTCCACATTGTCTCCCAGCAGACGGTAGAACAGCTTTTCATTTCTGTCCTGTAAGAATGATATTGGATGGTTATATTTTTATGTGAATTTAAAAATTCTCTAATTTAAATACACAACATTTTTGAATTTTTCAAAGTTTGAAATTGACTAAAAAAGAAGATTTTTAGGGTGACAGTTTGTATGTACCAATAAGCCAATGAGATAGATATATTTGGAGAGATCATCGTCATAACGATCCAGATTCAAACGACAGAGTTCTAGCTGTTCGTCCTGAGTTTTTACAGCTGCTGGTAGAAGACCATGAATGCCCAGTATTTGTCTCTCCTCAATAGTGAATGCCATCCCCTGAAAGAAAAGAATAGTATGCTTTGTTAAGTCTGTTAAATAATTATTTCTAATTTACTTGGCAGATTTTATGTGAACGTCATTTTCCAGAATTTTCTACCAATTCAATTTTAATTTTTTAATACTTAAAAAATTCAATTTAATTTTCCACAATTGTCTATCAAAATTAATAACTAATTTACTATAATTTCAACGATTCACGTAAACATTTCGTGTTTGAAAACGGGAACACGAAGTGCGTTGAATTGTCGTCATCGGTTTCAAACTGTCAAATCAATTTATTTGCCAATGTTCACCGAGAATATTTTATCGATTGTCTAATTAAATAGCACAGTCACGACTGGTATCGCGGTCGCGAGAAACTACATAGACCGGAATGTACCTCGTGCACGCTGACATATTATATAATTGCACTTTATTGATTTTTTTTTCATCGAAACCTACGTGTCAGCCTGGAAGCCTAAGAGCCTTGCTGTGTTCAACGAAGAAAAGAACGAATGGAATGTTTTAATACGAAATGTCCGAGGATTTTATTCGATTTATGCACGTAAATATTTCAAACGATATACATATAAAGCTGAATTGTCCTATCGAAGGTATGGTATTTTAATTAAAAGTGGGATTACCAGCTTTAGATTGACGGCGCATTAATAAAAATAATTAAAAGAAGATATCAATATTTAACATTAAAAATTGAATACTTTGAATTTTCA